GCTGAAGCACCCAGGGAAACCAGCTAACAAAACTCCGCCTAATTCTCAGTGCTTTTCACAGGTTTTCCATCCGAGTATATCTAATCGTCTGAAATCTCCCTGTTTCTCTTTAAAATTCCGTAAGTGTTTTTCGTTTTCCTCCACAAAAGACTACGTTTATTTTATTATGAAAACGATACTGTCAGTAGCAGTGAGACGTCAGGGAAATATACAAGTTTTATGATGTCTTTGTGCTTTTGGAGACATCTTACTCCCCTGTAGGGGAATACTCCACCCTGCAGAAGCAGAGCTAATTCTGACAGGCTCTTGTATTGCAACGGTGATGTCTTCTTATCAGTTCTCCTCTGTGTCCCTAAAGTCAGTGACGGCACACACAGAAGGGAGATCTTCTCCCTAACAGAAGTCTCATGCTTAGTTATCGGCAAAAAGCACGCCTGAGGCCAAGGGCCTTGAACGCAAAGGGAGCTGTGAACTTCTAACGTGCATCCAGCACCGCAGAAAAACCCAGACCCTTGAAAGTCAATACAACACTCACTGTTTGTATCATTGTGGGAGAAAAAGAGAGAGAAAACAGTGCCATAAAACATCCATTTTTATCAAAAGAAAAACCTTAGGAGATGGATCTACACGAGTCAACAAAGTGAATATTTTAAACTGTATTTGATGTGTGATCATTTATTTATATTCAAGACATTCTGGGTTTCAAACTTGCACTCCTTTGATGCCAGTGGTTCTGGCAGCCTGCGAGCGAACTGTAATTTCCCTTCTGTGGAGAAAGCGCTATTTAACGCTACAGGTCGTGACACGCTGGTCCAAGAAGAGGAGGCAGGGCTGCTAAGATCAAGAGCTAAAACCTTCATATTTCATCCCAGCGCAGTCCACCCAAGCATTTAATTTCCCATAAAACATCTATTTTTGATGTCCTCTAATCTGTGATACATCAGACAAAATCTTTTCTTACAAAAACATCATTTTTTGTGCACGGCGAGGCAGGAGTACTGAAAATTATTTATTAACTTCAATTATCATACCACATTTACTTCGATAGCAATGGTTTCCATTCTTCCAGCCTACCTCTTTGCTCAGAATGCCTTGCCCACTATGTCCTGTCAAGGTCAGAATATCCTGAAACTGGAGACAGCTTGAAGCCAAGGTCTCCCTTCTGCATGAAACAAAACCTCCTAAGCACGAGATCAGCCACATTTCAATTTACGTTTAGTTGTAGTCTCGACAGTAAGAAATTGTTAACACTTTGATACAATCAGCTCAAATCTCGTAATTCAAAACCTTCTGTAACGCAAATCTAGTTGAGAAAACCATGTTCATCCTAAGTATCTTCTCAAAAAATTTAAAGACACCCTACCACAATGACCCACACATGTCCATGCTTACAGCTGCACAATTCCAAATAGCTAACCCTTGTAAGTGTCCTCTGCATCCATCCAGGATAAACAGATAAAGACAGTGTGCTGTTCACACACAGCGGAGCACCACTGCACATACAGAAACAAAAACTAGAGTCATCTGTAGGAAAGTGGATGCACCGTGAAACTATGTCAAGTGAAATAAGTCAGATGCAGAGCTTCAATATTCCATGGTTTAAGAAACCCAAAGTACAAATAAGATCAAAATAAGAGATAGGTAATAGGAAGCAGAGAGGGAGATCTTACCCAGAGGGGAAGGATGGAGGGAAGGGGAAGAGGGAAAGGGGACACAAAAGGAATTAAGGTGTGTTATGTACACGCGCCAACTCCACACAAGGAACATCAGCATTGTGTACAGCAAACATGGACCGACAACAACAGCAAAAATAAAGTCTAACGTGCAACCAGAAAAATCACGCCTCACTTTCATCTCTCCTGCCACTGCAAGGACAGAGGTGAAGCTGAACACGTAAGTTAACCAACAATTCCTGTCTTCCAAACCCACCAGTTCAACGATAAAACTCGCTGTTTCTCGGAATAGACCTTAGTGATGCAGCTTTTGCTTTGAACCTGGCTTGGCTTACTGGAGAAAGGAAAGTGTAGCTTAAATGACCAAGATATGGAAAGCAAACATAAATTACTGGACATATTTATACATTGTAACATATCCGCATGTGACAAGAGAATTAATTTAAATTTCTTTAACTTCACACCTTTGCTGGGATACATAATAAAGGCAGAAAGAACTGCAAAAGGAACACTGATCTCTTCTCCATGGGCTTTGTGGTGCTGCAGGTGGGATAAGCAGGAGGTTTTCTGTGCGGGTCCCAGGACAGAATGACTGAACCCTCGCCTGGCCCTGCTGGGTTATGCTGTGCAGAGCTGGGCTGCCAGGGGCAACAGAGACGGGGAAAGAAAGGGGGAAGTGGACTGTGAAAAGCAGGGGACACAGGGCAGGGTGTGTCACTGCAGAATTACTGCACCTTTTCCACTGGTCTGGAAGTCTTCTAATGGAAAAGACAGATAAAAGAGGCTCTAGGATGGAATTTCTGACTTGTTGTCCATTCTGACCACCCACGCTGGGGTTCCGTGGCTCTCTGACACCAAAACCTGGCTTCTAGTCATTTACCAAGAGAGACGTGAAATGTCTCAGATACTGAAGAGGCCCCTCGTATTTCAGCCACCAGCACTGAAGCCACTTGCTACACGGATTTGGTGCAGTGTCAGGCTGGGCTGGTGTGCGTCTCCCCGTAGGGGACCTGCACCCATGTGAGTCACTCCCCGATCCGACAGAGGCCAAGCCCAGCCTAGAGACTGCTCCCTCCCTGTCTGCCCCCATCTCATTGCTTCTGACTTACAAGTTGGGACTAAAATATACATTGAATGTTTAAATTTTTTAAAAGCACTGCAGTGAAAAGCACATAAAACTTTCTCAAAGTACTTGCCTTTGATTTCAATGTATTTATCCTGTTTTTCCTCTTTATATACCTATGTTTTTTTAAAACCTCCTTATTTCCAAATAATTTTAAATTCATAGTAAAATGTCAGGAACAACACAGAGAGCTCCTGCACAGCTTTCAGCTAGATTCCCCGGCTGTTAACGTTATGCACTTGCCTCATCAGCTTTCTGTTACAGTAACAAAGTACCTGGGCTAATAAACTTAAAAAGAGAGAGGGAAGCCAGGGCCAGTGGGGTGTGCCTGTAATCTCAGCCTCTCCCATTCCATCCTTCTTGACACTTTCTGAAGCAGCCCTGGAGTTCCCTATCCTGAGTGTCCCAAAGAGATGTGATCAAAAATCTGGTGAATGCGAATGTTAATTGCCATCCATCAGAAAGGCAGGCTCGTCAAAGCATGAGTGGGTCCTCACCCCCCTTATTCACTGGATCTGGCACTGTGTGACTTCCGTCCCCCAGAGTCTAAATGACCGGGAAAGGGAAACATTCTGAATGGGCTCTGGGCAATGAGGCAGCCACAGCGGCAAAGACGCTCAGAGGAGAGGACTCCAGAGCTGCTTCCGAGAGCGGCAGCACTGATGGGGTCAGTGTGTGGAAAGTGAGGGGAGGACTCTGAGGGGACTGAAGACAAGGTGTCTGTCAGAGTAATCCATGTTTTTGACTCCAGCATTCACTACGGTTCCTATCTTCCGTCACGCACAAGCGCCATAAACGGCACGGTTTGCTTTCAACTTCACAGGAGCACCCTAACAATTTGTTTTAAAAGAACACACTGCAGGCTGCGTGTCTTTCTCCTCATCTGCTGGGCTCTTACCTCCTGGATTCTTTTTTTTTTTCCCCGGTACCAGGAATTGAACTCAAGGACCTTGCCCTTCCTGGGCAGGCACTTGTGCCACTGAGCTATATCACCTGTCCTCGTGGATTCTTTCAAATCCCCAGAGCTGCCCAGCCGTGAATCCCATTCCATAATGTTTCTCTTGGACACCGTCCACGGACGTCCAGAGGGCAGAACGCACCGGGTTTCCATGATTCCTGCCTCTGATACGGCGCTGGCCTTCACAGACTTTCCTTCAACAAAACCACCGTCTCCCCTTCCACTCACGTAGCTCAGGAGTGTCGTGGGGTGGAGTGTGGCGCCCTGCGGGACACTTCAGAGGCACCTCGGACCTGTTCTGATGACATTTCAGCAAGCTGGGACTCTGTGAACATCCTGTGTCACCGTCCACAAGAGTCCACCCGCCACTTACAGAGCCACATCACACAGCCGGCAAGCCCCAGCCCAGCCCAGCTCACAGATGAGGACCTCACCAGCGAGCCCGGGGATGCTACCATGCACAGTCCCCGCAGCGGGTGCCACACGCAGCATCCAGGAAGCCCCGCCCCTCCCTCCAGGAGGACGCTCGGATCCCCGTGGTCAGGGGTTGCAACTCCCGATTCTGTCCTCTTGCAGCTCCCCTCCACCTCCGTCTCCAATCACCTTCCTGAGCACAATGCTCAGGTCTGCTCTGGCTAAGAACGAGATCCAAGACCTCACACAGAAGGGTGACTCCCAGGACAACGCTCAGCACCCTGGGGACAGGGCATCTCCTCCTCCAGGACAGGAAGAAACTCCCCCTTGGCCAGTGAGGGTCAGGACACCCATCATCTGTCTTCCTAAAGCAGCTGTGGGTTCTGATTTCCCACCAGCTCTCCCTAGGAATAAGGGCAGAGCGTGGGGGGAGCTCTTCCTGCCTCGTTTGCTTATGAAAAATATTCAATTATGACCCAACTTTAATTCACTTAGTAATGAAAAGCAAATGATCTCAAGCAGCATGTTTGATTTGTCTTAGACAGAAACAGCTTCGCAAGAACAAACAAAGTTAAATTAAAACAAGTGACTCTCCTCGGAGGTGGAAATTGAATTTCTCCCCAAAGAAATTCCCAGCATCCATAAAACACCAGCCGACACCAGGAAGACACGGAAAGTCCTGGTATGAGCAACTCCTAACCAAACAGCAGGCACACGTGTCTGCGCGTGGGCGAGCTGGCACCTCTGTCTGGACACCCCTGTCCACCAGGAGTGGAGCCTGGAGCGTGCGGGGCACAGCGCAGCGGCTGCCACCGGCCTACATGGCACATACCGTTTTTGCAGATGGGGCAGCACTGGTCGGGCTCGTACACAGGGTCCACGCACTCCGTCTGGGGACACGCTGACACCGTGCACAGCACCTCCCCGCTGGCCTCACAGCGACACCTCTCGCAGGGGGACACCTGGAACACAAGCCCGACGGTCAGGTCAAACCTCCGCAATCCCGCTCCTACAAAACCCAGCATTTTTATCCTGAGGACTTTCGTGAAGACACTTAGTTGTCTTAGGAAGGTTAACAAAAGGACGTGGGCTGGGGGTTTCCCCAGTGGGGACACAGGGGTGTCGGACCCCTTAGTAACTGCAGCTCTCAGCCGGGCCAGGGGCTCTGCTTCCCTGTCAGCTCGCTGAGGTTCGCTCTGCTCTTGGGCCTCTATGCACCTGACTTCTGCAAGAGCTTTCTTTGGAAGAATAAACCACTCATAACCAGGTTCCCCTTATATGAGGGCACCCCTTTCCCACAGCCCTGCCAGTCACCACCCGCACTGGCATGGACCCTCCCAGGGTTCGCAGTGTGGAGAGAGGGACAGGCGTGAGGCGGAGGCCCTGACAGAGTTCCTGAAATGGCTTTTGCTAGAAGTACATGAAGCCTGCATCTTTGGAGTCTTCCTGTAATGACCAAAGGGCCCCACTAATGCTGTGAGCCCTGCTTACAGATGAGGAAACTGAGACCTGGAGGAGCCAGGCAAGCTGCCCTTGGCAGATGTTGGTGGCTTTGATGCCACCAAGGGTTCCTGACCACCACTTTCCAGGATTACTACGATTTTCCACACCAGGTTCCGATCTGTCTCTGGATTTTCCTGCATCAGCCCAAATTCTACTTTTTTGGAGCTGTTCGAATCAAGCTCAGTTCCATGTCTGGACAAGTCAAAAAGTCACAGAGACCGACGCAGTGTGCCGCGTGGATGAACTGTTGTCTGGAAAAATAGGGTGTTTTGGGATCTGGGCTGAAACAGGGGAAGGCACAAGCGGCGTATGCAGGCCCAGGGGTCAGAGGCAGAAACTGCAAGTGAACATAAAGCCAGACATGGTGGTACACGCCTGTTATTCCAGCCCTCAGGGAAGCTGAAGCAGGAAGATCGCAAGATAGAGCCCAGTCAGGACAACTTAGTGACTTAGTGAGAACCGTCTCAAAATAAAAAATAAAAATTAAAGAAGAGGACTGGGAATGTAGCTCAGCGCACAGGCTCCGGGTTCAGTCCCCAGTGGTGTAGTAAGTCGGTAAATAGAGGGTTAACCAGGGAAATGGTGGGAGGTGTTGTCGAGCTGCCCTTCCTGCTTTCCTGGGCCAGGGGAATCCCGGCTGTGTGCACCGCAGCATGCCTGGCACTCTCATGAGGTAAGCAACCCTGGCAACGCCCTGGATCCCTCTGTGTGCGCAAGGTGAACAGGGACAGGGTCTCCGCTCACGGACTGGGCATGCAGAAGCTCAATCTGGGTTTGGGCGTCTTCCTGTGGTACTCAGCTCCAGCCCACCTGCCTGTGAGCCGGGACTTAGCGGGTGTGTGTGTGTGTGTGTGTGTGTGTGTGTGTGTGTGTGTGTGGCTCCCATTTCCCTCCAGCTCCCATTTATTTCCCTGAGCAGACTTTAGCACCTCTATCTCCAGCATGTATATGCAGGGTACCCCGATGAGGACACCATCCTGGGTTTGCAAAGCAGAGCCCTCAAGGGGCCTGAGACATTGCTTACTGCCCACCAGAGGGCTCCGGGCCTGAGCCACTGTGGCCAGGCCATGTTGTCCTGGGGAGAGGGCACCCATCCCTCTCCCCAGCAGACAGCACAGAGGCAGCGAGGGCCCAGAAAGTCACTATCGTGGTGCATCCGTGGGAAGAGGCACAGCCCAGCCCGTCCCCTTGGCCTTGGCTGTGCTCCAGGGAGGGAGCAGAAAGCACCATGGGTTGGGCCTGAAGTCGACAGGAGGCAGATGTGAGTTGGCCAGGCCCCAGGGAGGGCCACCTGGCAACCATGCAGCTTCCTGTTACCGAGGCTGCAGTACCCAGGCAGGAGCCCCCAGGCAGCCTGGTACTCTGGCAAACTGGGTGGGGTCGCTGAGTCACCCTCACTGCTGGTGGGGGGCTGAAACTTCAGCTACTCATGCACAGAATGCAGCCCAAAGGCTCCCATGTGTACTGACCGGCTCTCTTTCTTCATTTCTTCTTTCCTTCCTTCCTCCCCCTCTCCCTGTCTTTCAGTTTTGTGGTGTAGGTGATTGAACCCAGGACCTTTGCACTAATCCTCACCCTCAGTTTTTTCTATTTGTTTTCTTGGTACTGGGAATCGAACTCATGACCTCACCCTTGCCAGGCAGGCGCTGTGCCGCTGAGCCACCTCCCCAGCCTTCTAATTTTTACTGTGAGACAGGACCTCACGAGGCTGCTGAGCTGCCCAGGCTGGCTGTGAACTTGTGATCCTCCTGCCTCAGCCTCCCACAGTGCTGGGATTACATGTACACATCATCACGCCTGCTTGGTTTGCTATTGTCTTAAAGGTTTTGCAACTTTATCAGAAATCTGATGGTGAGCTTTACCATCATTTAATATTTAGAAATCCTGATCGAACCATCCGGACATGTGTCCACGGCCCAAAACTCAAGAATGGATGCTTCACTGAGGGTCACCATGAGGGCCTGACCTCCAGCTCCTGGGTCTGCCCTCACAACCGCCCACTCAGGGCCCTTGTCACTCATGAATCAGGCTCAGGCTGCCCAGGTTCCCATGAAGCCAGGCTGGTGAGGGCCCCTCAGACACCAGCCTTGTGCCCTGCTGCTCTGACCTGAGCCAAGCCCCTCATGCTGTAATAGGTCCCTGGGTTTTATTTTTTGGTTTTTTTTTTTTTTTTGGTTTTTCTCCGGTACCGGGAACCGAACTCACGACCTTGCGCTTGCCAGGCAGACGCTTTGCCGCTGAGCTAAATCCCCAGCCCCGGTCCCTGGGTTTTAGAAGACAGAACTTCCGCTTCCAGTCAGAAGTCCCCAAGCCCTACCCAGAACCCAGCTCACAGAGGAGAACTGGGCCTTTCTCATGTTGATGCTTCCATGTTCTGAGAGAAGGTAGGGCAGGCCCAGTGCAGGCCCACAGGCTTGCCAGCCAGAAAGAGGGTCCCTACAGTCTCGGGAGAATGAAGGTGATTGGATCACGGGGTGTTATGCTCACAGGCGGATTCATCCAGGGCTGACTGTGCTATAAGAGACAGGGCTGGCTGAGGTGGGAACTGGGCTGTGACCCAGAAGGGTGCACTCTTGTCCCTAGCTCTTGGCCTCTCCCTGCTTCCTGGCTGCCATGACATGAACAGCTCTGCTCCACGCAGGCCCTTCAGCCATGCTGTGTCTGCCTTGGAGCCAGCGACTGGCACCATGAGCCACGGTAAACCTCTCCTCTGGTGTTCGGGTGTCAGCAGTGTCCCAGCAAAGAGAAAGTGACGGCGACAGCCTCTTTCCAGTCCTGATCTTGGGCCCAAGTCCCCTATTGGGCTGTATCCTGTCAAACACCCGGGCTGACCCTGCCCTAACAGACACAAATAGTGCCGGGTCTTTGTGCGCAAAGCTCAGTGACACCAATCCACCAACCGCAGCACACCTGGCTTTGCTCGTGTGTGCTTTGCTCATGCTGACTTGGACCCCAGGGGAGCTCACACCAGAAAAACCTTTATGTGCCATGGATCAGCTAAATCCAAACTCACTTGGCCACCAGCTGAGGACTTCTGCTCCATGAAGGCATTTCCCTGAGCCCCTACCTAGGCCTCCCATGGCCCTCACATGGGGCAGGAATGCTACCAAGTTCAAAAACAAACACAAACCTCAGTGGCTGCTGAGCCCAGCAGCCAGCCAAGGACAACACAGCCACGCTCCACGTCTCCATGTCACACAAGAAAGCTACACTGGACTCCAAGCATGGAGTCCTGCACGGAAGCTGTGGAGAGCCTGCAGCCCTTCCCACGGCTCCAGGACCAGCACAGCCTGGCGCCCACCGATCCCACACAGGCCTTAGGTCAGTGCCTTGTGGCAGCCACTACATGCCAGGAACAGTCCAAAGCTGTGCTGCAAAAAAGAATACGGCCTCTCCAATGGGAAGTGAAAATAAAGACATTCTTGGTCCATTCACTCATTCCAGTCCAAAGGCCAGAGACGAACAGCGCTTCCGCCATCTGGGGGAAAGTGAGAACAAGGAGGGTATCTGGAGGAAGACAAGGTGCACAGGTGGGATTTGGCCTAGAAGGACGGTGCTGTCCTTCCTCATCCATCCTCTGGCTTTCCTAGTCAGCACCCTGTGTAAACAACAGTCCTTTAAGTGAATCTGAGAAACATAGCCTCCAACCCAAAGTGAAATGATGAGGAGCAGACATGGCTGGGGGAGTGTTTCTTTCGATGGAACAACTGTGAGCACAACCTGGGTGGCACAGCCTAAGAGAGATGTTAACTCACTGGTGATTAAAGGAGAACTGGTCTGAATTAGTTAGACCCTTATAGCGCTCAGTCATTATATCTTATGCACACAGGCAGTGAGGATTACACAATGAGTGTTGAACCTACTTCCAAACAAGTGAGAGTGAGTCACAGAACTGACACATGAAACAATTCTTAAATGGAAAATGAGACCCATAAAGAAGGACACTGTTTAAATCCAGAGCCTTATGCACACACGAAGTGACCCCTATGGCCTAACCATCTCCTGCCTAAAGGTCTCACTACTCTGCATCCCCACACTGGGGGCCGAGCCTCCAACGAGGAACCCCACAGGGTGGTTGGGGTGGGGAAGTTGGGTTCCCACTCCTATGTGAATAGAATACAGAGAGCTTCACACTGCATCGCATGTATTTTTCACGAATGAGCTCAGGTGCTCTTAGGCATCTGCCTGGAAGAAGGCCTTGGGCCATTCCATTAACTGATTATAAGCATAACCACAAGAATCAGGTTCTGAAATGCCACAGAAAGCTGTCTGAATTTCAATGTCATTCTTGTCTATGGCTCCAATCTCTTTCCATTGTGGGAGCAAGAAGTCTTTCCAAATCCCTCTTCCTGCTATTTCCCATCCTCCCAGCAGCCCTCGCTGCCCATTCCCCAGGATACCCGCCTCCTTGGGTTGTAGTAAACTTTCCCCAAGGCCAAGTGCACATCTTCTTCATCTG